GGGGGGGGGGGGGGGGGGGGCTCTTCATTTTTTAAATATTATGCAAGTTTATATCAACAGTGATCTTTGAACTCATAACATTGCAAAGCTAAAAAATGAAATGAACTTTGTGTCACTGAACTTTACATCATTTAATACCTGAAAGAAACCGTTAATAACGCAGAGTGGTTATTAAATGTCACAGTCACAGATCAGTGTCTGTCACTGATCGGAGTCAGAGTCACTGAGGCTCTCACTATCAGAGGAGGCCAAGGCTGGTGGTTAGGAATCAGAAATGTAGGCCTTAGCAGCTTCTGAAAATCGGTTGTCTAACTTGACTGTCTCATGTAAAACCTTTGCCTCCCTCCTTGATAAACTTACTAATGCTGCAACAAAAATGTCTTCCATCCCAAACGTTATACCGACGCTGTCATAGTTGACCCTTGGTAAAACTTTTTGCAGAACTCTTGTTTTTTCCATCCTGGCTAACTTTCATTTGATACCTTTCCTTTTGTTTTGCTTCCTCTTTCGAGCTTTGGAGGTAGATGGCTTGAAGACATGTAAATCCTTGAATATTCTCTGTCACTCCTTTAGCTTTTCATCAACCTGAGCCATTTTGGCCTAGCTTATTAAGCTTGTTCACTGTAGCACATTGATTGTATGTCAACTTTTCCAGTTTGTCTTATGAAAATGCTATTACTTAACTAGAAACAAATTCTGGAGAAAGGTTGTGGCAAGTCTTTGAGGGATTGATAAATGACAATATCATATTGAAGAAGATATCTGAATTTAACTTAGCACCAGTTAAACCCTGCATTTTGGAGCTCACCGACAGAGGTCCAGGTGTAGGGGTGAGCAATTTTGAAGTTAGGTTTAGAGATGCTGAGATTGCCTTGCTTCACAATTCTGACCGAATGAAGTGCTAGAGTCCAGCGTGCAACTAATGATTCAGGTCAGAATGAAGCGGAGCGACGCAATGCCTGCATAGGTGATGCATTGGTCGATGGAGGAAGCCTGAAATGGTATTACTATGAACAGTACCATGGCCTTGAGTAAGAAGATTTGAAGAGAATGTCAGCAAAAGAGCTAGAAGATTTAGAGAAAGACGGAATGATGAAAAATGCATGGCGAGTTGCAGAAGAAGTTCGACTGAGGATAGATGGTGAGCCCGCACCAAATGGTTTTCTTGGTGCAATTGTTTCAGAAAAGACTGGCGAAGAATTTTTCTACAATAATTAAGGAATATCCATCTAAGTATGACAACAATTCAAAGTCAAAGCGACATGTAAATGGGTGGATAGGTCCCGACTCACTGAAGCGCACACCACGTCCTTACCCAGATGTCACACAACTCCCTTCCTATCACTACCTCTCAGTAGGTAATACCCCTTTCATCTACAACCGCAGTTCAAATATGAATTATTTCATATATACTTCACATCATTTCACTCCTCACGGAGATCATTCTTCACTTTCATCTACAACCGCAGTTCAAATATGAATTATTTCATATATACTTCACATCATTGCCCCTGTTCATAATAGAGCACCAGATGATTTCCAACATCGTGCGCAGCCACGCAAGTTTTCATTGGGGGAACATTAAATATGGTGATAATGACAAAATAGAAGCATTTACTGAAAAGTACATTGTCAACCCTGATCTGGTGAAAGAACATCTTGAGCACCTTACGGATATTGAAGTGAGAAAAAGTGTGCTTCAAGAAGAAAAGCGTCAGGCAAAGAAAGATGAAGAAACTAAAGGCTAAGGTGACTCTAACTGGGAGAATGTTGTACAAATCGGGAAACCTAAAAAAGCTGAAGGTTCCAGAGCTCAATAAATATATTTTTCACCACAACTTATCTAGAAGAAAAATGTCCAAATCAGAAAAACTGAACCTTCTGACAGCTCACATAGCAAAGGTTTATGTGAAAGGATCTTGACATTGAGTGCTGCTGAAAGGCTGCAGCAATGGAAGCGTCGGACACTCAGAAGAGGACGATGTCCGACAATGAGGGCTCAGAAAGTGAAGATGAACAACTGCCGGAATTTGGCGATGCAAGCAACTCAGACGAAAATGACTGAAATTAAAGGACAGTGAAAGTGAAGAGGAAGATGGGTTGCCTGAAGGAGGCAGGGTAAACCGTCGTGGCAGAATAGTGGGCGATTGGAGTTTGCGTTATTCTAACTAACAGGTGCGTGTGTGTGAAGGACGACAGGATCGTTGCACAATCCAGCCACAAACCATTTTTGTCTGCAGGAAGGGGGTGGGTCACTAGAAATTTAACTCAGTCTCGAGGGACGATCACATTTTTAACAAAAAATATGAAGGGAGGGCTGGGAGATTTTACATTCATTCTCATAGCGATTCCTCCGTTCCCCCACCACCACCCCCACCCCTCGCCCTCTTCTAAAAAATGAATGCTCCCTAGCAACTATGAAATGACGGAATGAGATATTTTGTTGTGAACTGTAAGTCACAGAAATACGGTACTGTATACCGTAGAAGAGTAGAGGACAATTTGTTGCACAGTACTTTTACACAATGTACACTGAACTTTGCTTAAAGTATTGATCGCTTGAAAGATTGTTGATTGTCCTATTGTTTCCTTGCATGAAGTGTTTTTGTAGATACGCCATAAAAATTGACATTAGATCACGCCCAGTGAGTAGTTTTAGTGATCCTGTATTAAGCGGCCACCTGTATTAAGCGGCCAGTTCCTCAAGTCCCGAGGGTGGCCGTTATATACAAGTTCGACTGTACTTTGCGTGACTTTCTAGGTGTTTGTGTCTGGAAACCCGGCTGCGGGAACTAGATACCCGGAAGTCTCTGATTATTGATATTTCCACGGAATAACTCATTCAATTCTTCCTAGAATAGTAGATCTGTTTCTTAGAAATGTCTAGCGATTTCAAGTATTATTATGGCTTTGTAGTTGAGGAAATTTTCGAGCTAGGTCGATGTTTGGACACTTGAAAACTTTTCGTGCTCTGTCTCCGGAGTCAACTCTGATAGTAGAAGTACACATAAATTACAGTTGAAACCCTCTGAGAGTACTCGTCAGTCGATATATTTGTTCAGAAATGCCAAGCGATTCTAAATAATTAATGTTTTGGTGGTGGACAAATTCTCTTAGCTTCGGAATACTATAAAAATCTCGACTCGATCACGGCCAGGGTTGTTCAGAAAACTATTAAAGTACCATTAAGGCGACGAAGGCCGTGCTCTTGGAGGTTTAAGTGTGAGCGTCAGGACAAATTAGGTCATCTTCAACGTGAACTGTCTGCGTCCATGTGGCAAGTAAAAGCTTCGATTACTTGACAAGTGATTTGACGTTTGTCATTCAAGAAGAGTATGCCACTGGAATATATATTCGATGGGTTTGCTTTGTATGTAGGTTCACCAAAGCTTGCTTACGTTACAACGAGGCCTCATTGGGGCCATAGGAGTGGGGGGAGAAGGGGAAGAGTTCTGAGTATCTCACATATCGTTTTTTCTTTGGCCTAAATATAACGTATCCCGTTAATTCCGATTGCAAAAATTAACGATTATCGATATATTAAAATTCTAACCTGGCTCCAAGGTTAGGCCTCACGGAACGGTATCCTACCCCTTGGACCCCTGATGCCCAATTTTTTGTGACATGCGCAGAGT